ATACTAGAAACGTGTCCTTTGGTCAGATGAGACAAAAGTAGAGCTCTTTGGCCATAGAGATGTTGCCTATGTTTGGAGTAAGAAGGGACAGGTGCTCAACCCAAAGAACACCGTCTCCAGAGTGAAACATGGCAGTGGGAGTATAATGCTGTGGGGATGTTTCAGTGCGTTTGGAACTGGGAATCTCATCAGGGTCAAAGGAATCATGAAAACGGAAGACTACGAGAAGATTTTAAAAGACAACCTCAGGCAACAAAAGATGGTTTGGGTCGACGTTTTGTCTTCCAGCATGATAGCGACTCAAAGCATACCTCATTTCTGGTGTAGAACTACCTCCAAATGAGCAAAGTGAACGTCCTTGACTGGCCTGCACAAAGCCCAGACTTGAATCCAACAGAAAATCTGTGGGGCTCACTGAAGACCAGAGTCCGTGCCAGGAGACCAACAAATCTGGAGGAGCTTGAGAGATTAGCTAAGGAGGAATGGACTGCGACTCCTCAGGAGACATGCCTGAAACTTGTTGAGAACTACAACAAAAGACTAAAGGCTGTTATCAAGCAAAAGGGATACACCATTGACTATTAACATCAGAGGGCTAATAATTTTGGCCTGTAGACTTTTTTATTCTTGGTTATGATTTTGTTTCTATTTATATTAAAAACATTCCAAGCTTCCTAAATAAACGATTATGTTTAGAAATGCTGTGTTGAAAAAATCTTCTCAAAGAGCACTCGGGAATTATTTAAATAATAATGAAATATTTTATAGGGGGCTAATAATTTTGTCTTCAACTGTAAATCTCAAAATTCACGTGTTATTCTATTAATGTCCAGTCTTACCAGTGAGAGCAGTCGTGTAAGCTATCGTTGAGGCTTTTTCTCAGGACAGAGTCTTTGTCATAAATCCCCCATGTGGCCTGTAACACTGAATCCAGAAGGCAATCTCCAGCGGTTCGGTTCCACAGAGCATACAGCCGGCTGTCCAGACGCGTGCCCAGCTCCAGAGACCAGTTAATGATGGGAGACTCCTCTTCCAGCTCTGAACACCACAATAAATCAGTTTCTCAATGCGTTTCTTTGCACATCCAGTGATACATTTTGTTACTGCTAGCTGCACGCTGCTCTTCAGGGATGCAACAGAAATAGACCAGCTAAGGCATTTTCTAGATCAGATTCTTCTCAACTGGTGGGTCACGACCCAAAAACAGGCCATGGGTTTGTTCTGATACTAAATGCAAATAACAAAATTCAACTAACTGTATAATTGGGACTGCAAAATCAAATAGGCTGATTAATTTTTAAAAGGTGGGACAAAATGCCTCCCATATCTTTTGATGTTGATTTCAAAGGCTGTGCCCCTAAACTTGGCACAATTTTACTGTTAACTTGGAAGAAGCTAGTTATATTAGATGTCAATGTGGACAGGTTGCGTGACATTTTTTAAAACTATGAACACAATTATGCAAGGTAAAAGGAAATACAACCCCTATGCATTAAATACGGGTTTACTTGCAAACAAGGCCAACGTTGTGCCGACCATAGTTTACCATCAAAATATCCAATGTCCTGAAGTAGAACTAGTTGAGGAACTCAATGTTTTAATGTGCTGCTCATTATTTTCTGGTTTAAAGCATAAAATAAATGCTAAAACGTCACGTTACCTTTTTGTACATCTCGATCCAGGACCTCGTCGAAGAGTTTTTCTTGAACATTTGGGGGAAGGTCTTCAATATCTACAAAAGAAGAACAAAAATGGGACACATTATGGATTTTTCTTCCACTTTTACACAATGTTCATTACAAGGTATATATCACGTCATATTTTAGGTCACTTTTTGCATAAATACATTTCACACCCTATTTATTTATGTATACTCACTTTCATGAGGGTTATTATAGTTAACTAAAACCATAAAAAATGTTCATTATTTGAAATAAAATAAACTTCAACTGAAATAAAATGAAATGAAATATTTAAAAAATCGGACATTTCTTATTTGGTTTAACACGATGTACTAAAATAACTAAAACTGAAATAAAAATGTATTTAAAAAAAAAATTATACAGACATATTTAAAAAATAATAATAAAAGTGAAAGCTTTAACCTAAATTAAAATGAAAACAGAAAATATAATTATAAACTAACTCAAAATAACAATAAAAATAATTATATTATCTCAAAGATACTAAAACAACATTGCTTTTCATTATGTTTATATTTATTGGTTGCAACATTTCATGATGTATTCAATTATTTCATGATATTTTATGTTGTCCGTCATATTTTATGTCAAGGTGAATTTCAATTCATATTCCATGATGTTTTACATTTTAAGACTTATTTGATGTTATATTTACATTTCATTCTACGGCTTCTGTGGTTTATTTAATAATTTCATTATATATATATTTATTTATTTAATTTAGTATGATATATCCCTTCATAACGAAGAACTAAATTGCAATGTTTCTGGTAGCAAGATCCCTTGATTAACATCTTAAGTGGATTTTAAGGTAAACGTTATTTTAGTATCATTAGTATTTTCTTTTCTTTTTTATTTCATAACTTTTATTTTAATTTAGTTCAAGTTTATTTTATTTCAAGAAACAGAAATTGTTTCATGGTTTCAGTTTTAGTTAACTTTAATAACCCTGGTTGAAATATCACAGACAACCGGCCCACTTGGAATAGGTTTTTGTGACTCATGTGGTCTGAATGCGTGAGAACCTGCGGCAGAAGGGAAATGTTTGTCTTTAGAAAATGTGAGTGATCACCTGCTGGTAATGTGAAGGTGACGAGGTCAGTGAAGAAGTTACAGGGAAACTCTCCTTTACGCCTGTGAAGTGCTGCCGCCACCTCTCTGCGGATCTGTTCTGTTAACTCAGGACACACCAGAGCCGGTATACACTTCGCCGTCTGCTGAGACACCTGAAGTACATTCATAAATATAGAATCATTTTACAATATCACATTGTGAGACGACTTCTCTCCGTCAACGCATGTAAAAACTCTGACCTCCGTGAGCAGCACCGCGAGCATGTCTTGTCTTTGGAAGCGGATGGCCAGATGCACCAGAGTAAAACCAGCATCGAACGCAGATGGACGGTTGAGAATCCGCACCTCGTCTGCGGTCAGCTGACGCGCGATATCACCGGCGGATGACTTGTACGCCTCCACGGCGGCCAGATCCCCCTCCACTACACCTGATGAAAGTGTGCGTTACATATGAGTGGGTTGACTTCCTCTTTCACAACTCTTTGAAGTTGCAGTATAAATTTCAAATTCAATTCCCATCAGACCTATAGGAGCTATAGGTATTTCCCAGAAGACAGTGACGCTGCTTTAGAGATCAATGATTTCATACTCTGATGCAGGAAAGCAGAGTGCTCACAGAAGTGTTCCCTAGTAGCAAAGCCCACGAGACAAAATCTGTCAGTTTGCATCAAACCATGCGCATGCAAACCGTCTCCCACAGGCTTAGTGATGAAAATAAAGGTTTGATACCAGCTGATATCAAAAGATTCAGCTTTGAATTTCAGCTTCACATCGCAGTAAAACATGCCAATCAAACAGTGAGCCAAAGGGAGAAGATATTGTACAAAGTCCCAAAAATGATGTGTACACTTAAAGTCACAACTGATAATTTACGTAACACTTTATAACAAGGTCAATACTAGTAAACTACATTAGTTATCATTAACTACATTTAACAATAAAAAATACTTATAGAGAATTAATTAATCATAGTTATTGCTCCTTTAACTACTTTTTAAAATCAAAAGTTGTGTGTTCACATTACTTAATGCATTAACATGGACAATTGTATTTTTATTATTTAACATTTTCAAAGACTATTAAATGCTGAAATAATATCATTGTTAGTTTCATGTTAGCTATTGGATTATTGTTCAGAAATTCGACCTTGTTGTAAAGTGTTACCATAATGTCAATGCATTTAAGAAATGTGATATATATATATTTTGTTTTATAAAAAATTAGGTATATGTGCACTTCTGTTGAAAAGTTTGGGGGTTTGACTTATAAATTAATACTTTTATTCAGCAAGGACACATTAAACTGACTAAAAGTAACAGTAAACATTTATAATATTACAAAAGATTTTAAATAAATGCTGTTGTTTTAAACTTTCTATTTGAAATTCCTGAAAAAAATATCACAAAAAATATGAAGCAGCACAGCTGTTTTCAACATCGAAAAAATAATAAGAATTGCTTCTTGAATAGCAAATCAGCATATTAGAATGATTTCTGAAGGATCCTGTGACACTGAAGACTGGAGTAATGATGCTGAAAAATCAGCTTTGTATCAAATCAATAAACTTCATTTAAAAATATATTACAATAGAAAACAGTTATATTAAATTGTAATACTTCACAATATTACTCTTTTTTTTGGTGCTATATTTCTGATCAAACAAATGCAGCCTTGGTGAGCATAAGAGATTTCTTTTAAAAATTAAATAAAAACATCTTACCAACCCCAACCTTTTGAACGGCAGTGTATGAAGCAAAACATTTCACATAAAGATGTTTGTTAGGTTTAACGTATATAAAAATTTTTTTTAAGTATCTGAACATGTTCTTAGTTAATGGGATGAACTACACTCAGCTACTGAAAAAAAAAAAGAAAAAAAATCACCAAAACACCAGCTGACTAAAAGACATTAAGCAAAACTGATGTGAAGTTAGTGAGGAGAAAAGCTCCTGCAGCATCTGAGTGCAGATATTACAGACACTCAATCTAATGCAATGACATTTTCAAAATGCATTTTAAGTGTCCAAATACATTTTGGGGAAACTGTATCTGGCACTAATGGGGTTCATTTCTCACCAGCGCACTTTCACTCGCTCACGCTCACAGCGCCTCCAGCTTCTCCTGCAATAGTCACAGACAGGCAAAATTTAGTTCTTGCTGGGGAAAGAGCTATGTGGATTGACAATAGAAATGATGTTGATAAACAGTGGGATCCAAAGGTCTCAGAGTAAAATTACTCTAAACTATTACCATTTTTCATTCCAAAAATATTAAAATAAATATAATATGTAAAAAAAAAAATTTCAAGTTTGGAGTCAATAAGTGAAAACTTCTACATTGTTACAAATTCTATATATATATATATATTTTAAATGGATAAGCATTTGATCAATATAATGCCATTTTTTAAAGTATTAAAAAAAAAAAATTAATACTTTTATTCAGCAAGGACATATTAAAGTAATCAAAAGTGACAGTAAAGATATTTGTAATATTCCAAAAATATATTTTTTAAATAACTGGTGTTTTTCCTTCTAGTCATCAGTCTTGAAAAAACTGTATCATGGTTTCCACAAAAATATTAAGCAGCACAACAGTTTTCAACAATGATAACAATAAATGTTTCTTGCGCAGCAAACCAGCATATTAGAATGATTTCTGAAGAATCATGTGACACTGAAGACTGGAGTAATGATGCTGATTATTCAGCTTTGCATCACGGGAATAAATTACATTTTAAAATATATTCAAATAGAAAATATTCCTTTTCAATTCTAATAATATTTCACGATACTATTCTTTTTACTTTAATCGTACCGACCCTAAACTTAAACTTAATTTAAAACTTTGATTGAATTTTAGAACACTATTTGGCTTGTCCCCTTTTGCTATAATTTGATTTAATCCACAAGTTGAGGGTAAACCTGATGATTCATGTAATGCAGCAAGATTTGAGAATGTTCCAAGAGCATCTTGTGCTTCAATGGACCTTTTGTACAAATGACTTGCATGGTCGATGTCACAAGTTTGATTAGTGACCTAGAAATAGTGCAGGCTATTTTTACATTTACCATTTTCTTTAATTGTCAAAATCCTAAATTCAAGATTTTCAGCGTGACCTTATTTTTTTTTTGGATGCCACTGTAATACAGTCACTTACAATTTAAAACAATAGTTTTTCTGAAGTACCAGGTAAATATCATAGCATAAGAATATGGTGATCACTTAAGTACTATGGTAAATACAAAAGTACCACTGCAGTACCATCTGATACCAATCAATGCATTGCAGTTTCCTTTTTAACTGGCTTGGACTATTTATAAATTACCATACACACTTGATTAAAATAATGATGACAAAAAGCATAAAGATGAAAGGGTTGACAAAATGAACATAGCACTGAAATCAGCACAAATCACAATGAGTCCTGATAGAATACGTGACAGTGCATGCATATTCTGTGCTTTTCTCCATGTCTCTTTATACAGTAACAGACACAAATCTCTTTATGTCTTTTCATTCACATGTTTCTCCCTCTTTGTGAATGATCTTAATCTTTCCATTTGCTACTGTAATAAAAAAGCACAATACAATTTATTCTGGAAGGCTTTTTAAGCCAGAACTTGTTCAGGACTCTGGATTATTCCTGACAGTCCAAACGGGTGGGCAACGACGGAGATGAATCCTGCTCACTGGGGCAAACGGTCACATCTTTGACCTACATTCCTACACTCTCATTTGGTTATTGGACTAGATTTTGGTTATTAACATTTGTTTAAAAAAAGAGACGATTTTTTCATGATGGCCTAGATTTCCCTGACTATGGTGGTAACATGGTACTATGATAAAGATGGTAATAATGCGGTACTGAATGATTCACATACACATACCACAGAATTTACATGACATTTCAAAGTATACCATGGTATATTATATATATATATATATATATATATATATAACCGAAACCCAATCCGATCGGGTCCAAATCCAGCTCAGCACCGAAAATCTACCGCGACAGCAGAGCAATTCTGCGGCCGAACACCCATGTTATTTCTCTCCCTTCCTCTGAAACCCCAAGCGCCACGGCGATATTCGGATCAAAGCGGGTTTTAGTGGGTTTTAAACACCGGAATTCCCATTTCTGTTGCAGATGTGAATGGCTCTAATGGCGGCGGCACAGGAGCGGGGGGGTAAACCAAAATAAACCTACTCCGGAGATACTGGTAGGAGGGATATCACCTGGACCAGCGGGCACATATGATTGGCTCTCGCTCCGTAAACACCGTGGAAACCAATGAGGGCGCATTTCTTTCGTTAAAGGGCTTCACGGCATACTTCCTTCATAGGCAATAACAATCAGGAAACCGTCGCTCTCGGTCCGCCATGTTGGCTCTAAGAATATTAGGGATGGAATATAAGGTTTCACTCTGGAGTGGAGCCAAAATGGAGTGTGTTTCGTGTGTTCGGCTCCACTGCCAAGGCTAGGGGGATGATGTCATCGTTTCAGAAAGATCTACCGCAGCATCATCTGCAGTGACATAAGGGCAGTTTTTCAATGAAAACAAAAATAAAAGAGTTGACAATATAGCTCCTGGGCCGTTAGATTGTTATGCGTGTAGCTCTTTTATGTCAAAACAATAAATGAAAGGCCCGGTGGGTGGTTTTAGCTGAACAGTTAGTTCCATGTAGGCTACTAATTTATTTAGTAGACTCGTTTATTATTATTTTTTATCAATGTATTCGTTTTATGAAGTGAAGACTGTTTGCATTAGAATATTAAATAAATGAAAATGTATAATTTCTTCCTACATTTTTTATATATCTTCTGATTATTATTTTTTTTGGTGTTTTTTTCGTAACATTTTTTTTAGTGAACATTCAGTCTGTTATAATTTAGGTTTAGGTTAGTCATGATCAGTGAAACTACACCCTTTTATCAGCTGATTTTCTTGTTTCGATCGATTAAGCAGAATAGACGAATAAATAGCCTATGTTTAGTTGCATCAAAAGTAAAGCGCAACTTTGTCGCCATCCGGTGGTTTCATAAACTAATGCAAATGTTTGATGAGACACTAGTTTGCTTTTTTATATCTAAAATGAAAATTCCACCCAAGAATCAAAAGTAAAACAAAATAATATCATATTTATATTCTTATTACATGTTATTATATATTATGTATAAATGTTTACGAATGTATAGTTATATTAATATATATTATATTTGCATTGTAACATTATTTTTACGACTAGTAAATGTTAAACATACTCTTCAAATTTTGCTCCAGATAATAATTTACTTAAACATATGTCGTTATTTAAAGATAATCTTCCTCTCTCAAATAGCGTCGGTAACATGACACTTTATTTATTTATTTACTTACGAGTTCTAGGGAGTGCCTCCACGTCGCTCTGATTGGCTGATTACACTGTCAGCGCGATAAAGCCCGCCTATCAAGTTTGTACTTTAGCAGGTGCGTATCTCACAATGGGGAATAGGCGTGAAGGCGTCTAACGTGTTTAAAATGGTCGGATTATTTACAAAGTTAACAATTTATCCACTCAGACATCCTCTCTTTTGGTCATGTCCGAATCGACATGAAATTTAAATGAGTTGTAACACGAAATTACCTGTGAATGAGCCAGTTGTAACCGAATAAATCAAGGCTGCACCTTCCACCTTTAATACACACCTGCGGTGCTGTGTTTTACCGAGGATTTGGTGTCTAATGATGCGAAAACAAGGTGACTAATAATAATAATAATAATAATAATAATCCAATGGTTAATGGCAGTAAATAATAAAAATACAAAATAGGATATTCTTGTTACTGTATTATTTGGTTAGGCCTAATTATTTGATTTAGTGTTGAAATGTTACCCATAAACTTGATATTTTGATATAAAACAATAATATATAACAACAAATTATATAAACAGCAATATTAAATGTTATTTTAATATTTATTGTGTAAAGTGCTGTTCCATATGGCTTTAACTGTTCAAATATTGAAAATTATCATTTGATACCATCACTCTACCATGCTTCTACACAGTAGTTTTAGTAGGGAGAGAGAAAAAAGTCTATTTTGAGAGGAACAAGAGGAAATAAGTGAGGAACTTTTAAGGAACTAATTGTATATATTAAATGACATTTAAAGTTACAATATACAAAATCTGTGTATGTTCCTGCAAAACGACACCCCTCTCTCTGATGTAGTGCATCTGCTTTCACAGTTCTGCTTCCTCTCTTGTCTGTAGCCACACCCACCGGGGGTCCCACAGCGTTAGCACCACCCCACTCCAGCCAATGGCAGTGCAGCACGGCCACTCCATCACTCCTCAGTTTCCAAGGTAACTGGGCTGCTCTCCTGAAAGGCGCTACATCATCAGCATCCGTCCGGCGAGGGCTGCTCGAGGCAGGCCGCCCTGCAGTGGATCGTATAGCAGGCACCTCCCTCACACACCGCACTGGATGGAAAAATGGAGTAGATAGCGTTATGGTGAGTACCCGGCTTCTGTCTTCTTCTGCTATGGGCTGATGCTTTCTCATTTATTTTAATAAAAGCAGGGGACATTTGAACATGGATGAGATATGATACTAGCAAGAGGGTTTACTCCATCTGAAGGCAAATTGTGGAGAGAGACAGCATTGTTGAAGCGGCCTGCATAGGAAGGACCTGACGCATGCACAAATGCTATCCACAAGGGGGGCCAAACATACATAGGAGCCTTTTAAAGCCTGGAGGGAGGGTTGTTCTCTTTTTGCACTATTGCTATTTCTGTCTGTAAGGTCAGGAATGTGAGGGTGCCAGTGTTTATTCTCCACCCTCCTTACACTGAAGCGTGGCCCGGTGTTTTCAGCTCAATAGCCCTGCATGTTTGTTTGTGTTAAGCATGTTTCTAGGTGAATAGCTCATCTGGTGCATGTCTGTCTTTTTGATGCTGCAGGGTTTAACGGTGCATGTGGTCCGGCGGGCACGCCTGTGTCATTGCTTGGTTCTCTCTCCTTTAGACGCTGCCTCGTCACCTTGGGCCCAAACACACCCTCGAAGGGTGGCGTTGCATGACAGATGCTCTGAGATATTAGAATTGTTTTGCTTTCTTCTTGATAAGGCTGCATGTGTGAGTCCTAAGGTGTGGTGTTGCACCACAGGCTTAGAATTAGCATCCATGTTTAACGTGGCCAAGTGAACTTGGAGGAAAGGGGGATTTGACTTTAAATGGAAAAGTAAACATGCTATAGTATGTCAAGTTCTCATCATATGACAATATACATAACAATATATTAGGGATGTAACGGTATGAAAATTTCGTATCGCGATTATAGTGATCAAAATGATCACGGTTATCAGTATTATCACGGTATTGTTCAAATGTGCTGGAGATGTTAAAAAAGTAATGACACATAAATCACTTCACCAAGTTTTATATTTAAAAATCAACAAACAAAATGACTTTTTGTTTGCATAATCACTAAAACAATAACATTACCAATGTTGTTTGGATTTAAATGACAACTTGACTGACAACAGTTTAATAGCATGTTGAAATATCTAATGTAAATGTTCAAATAAAGCTTTGAAAAAGTTTCATAAAAAGGTAAACCTCACATTTCAGCCTTTAAATAAAGAAAAGATACGTCAAAATGATAATTGATTAATAAATGATTATATGTATTTTATCTGCTCCATAAATAATTCTAGATAACTTATCTGAATTGTTTAAATGTGTAGAATCCACATAAGCTTGTTTTTCATCAACCGGTCAAAATTGACATCAGGGCATGTAAATTCGGTCCGTTTTTGGCCAGACAAAAACTGCAAGCAAGCTGAATGTAAATGTAAGTCTCTGTAAATCCACTCGCTTGACAGCAGGTGGCGCTTATGGAAAAGCTGAATTAGAGCTGTTTCCCGTAACCTCCGTGGACAAAGCAGTATTGCGATTAAGAACACTTCCTTTAGGTATTACATGGAGCCGAAGATGAAAACAAAATGCCATCGAATCGTTTCTGAAGACAGTCAGAACCTTCAGAGGTACATTCATATAATTAATTCATTCATATATTCATTTGTATAATTCCCTTAGACTCTTTTAATACCTCCCAGCTTTTCCGCCCAGTTTTCACTCAAAACGAAACTGCTCTGCGTGCTGTGCGCACGTGAGACTGTTACTTAAAACTGTGCTTTATGCTGGACAGTATTTATTTATCGCGAGTTGTTCAAATTGCGGTAATCTAATACAGTTTTAATGATAATTAAAAGATGAAACGGTAATACTAACCGTGGGGAATTTTATCATGATTTATCGTCAAACCGGTAATCGTTACATCCCTACAATATATACATACTATTCGCTATGTGGAACACCACTGTATATAGTAAAATTAAATTGTTTTTTAAATTGAAATGTTAATTTTGTGGTACTTGGAAAGAAATGTTTTTTGCTTTGATGACATCAGCATTCTAGCTGGTATGGAATCTGATGATCGTTATTTAGGATGATTCGATTTTTTTTTTTATATTAAAAAATATTAAAAATAAGAAAACACAGCACATGCACTAACATTTGAACTAAAATTGAAACTAAAACCGAAAACATAAAAAACATTCAAAATATTAATAAAAGCTATAAATATAAACTGATTCAAAATATTAATTAAATCTAATAGTATGTCAATAACACTAATACACATAGAATGGATTGTTTCATTGTATTATTTCATCTATCTTTTGTTTATTATCAAAATGTGTTTTATGTATATATATATATATATATATATATATATATATATATTAGACAAAAGCATTAGCAATTAATCGCAACATGAGAATTTGATACCGGCATATCCCTAATATATATATATATATATATATAGAGAGAGAGAGAGAGAGAGAGAGAGAGATACATTTTTTTTTCAATAATTATTTGCAAAAATATGTATTTATAAATTATTTTACCCCAATGAAACAATCACTAAATAGACTAAAATGGTAAACATATGCATTGTGAATACTGTAATAAGAATAATTTAGCTTATTGCTAGCTTATTTAAGCACTTCTGTTACGTGTGGCTCAGATATGATTGAAATGTAAAAAAATAAATACAAATTGAATAATTTTTCCAAACAAAAGTGTATGTTGGTCAAACCAATTATTTACCTGTCTTGATATAATAAATAATACAGTGTACTATATTCCCAGTTTATGTAATCGTGTAGATGTAGAATCGATAGGTAGTAATAAATTACATTTTAGGTGGGTAAACAACTGAAAGGGAATAATTAATGTAATAAATGCAGTAGATATAATGGATTTGAGTCTGTTGAAGTACTGACTTTTGATTATTTTATTTTTGTCCTTACGGTGTGCTTGTTTGTGTCTAGAAATTTCTTAAATCTCCTAGGACAACTGTGTATTTCAGTTGTGTAGCTTTAGGCACTGTTGCAGTTGGGTTTTGGGAAGCGATTCCTTTGTGATCCACCCCTCCCTCTTCCACGAGATCCCTGTTTTATTATGGTGATGAGGGATTGTGCTTAAGCAGGGTTAGACGCTTGTCTGTGTCTGTGTTTGAGTGTGGAAAGCAGGGGTTGGGTGGCGAACAGAGCCCTCTTTTCCACAGCTTTGACCCCTGTTATATAGACCAAGAATATTCTGTGTAGCTGTCTGCTTTTGTTGCACTGCAAGCCCTGAACACAAAAATGCTCTCTAAGCTTGTTATGACGGGGACCAGATGACCCAGAATTCTAGTGTTGGGTGAGATCTGTGATCTTGAGAGCTGAGGGCACAGCTAAGGCCTTTAGCAGGGTGTGAAATTAGCACAAGCATGCTGAAAATATTGTATAGTGTAGCAAACCTGTGCAGGGTAGCATGCTTTCATGGCAGATTCTGTTTCTTTAAATGTCCTGACATTGTAAAGTGTAAATAAGCTTTTTAAGTGCCGAACCCAAATGCAATTTAAGCCTGACGTGAACTACGGTTTGTTTGTATTTGAAAGCTGTTGTAAATAATGATATGTTGTTGGCTTTTTATAGCTTGGTAATTTCCCATTTGAACACAATGTGCAGTCAGTCTGTCTCTGTATCATGTCCGCACACTTCTGTCATCATTCAAACATAATGAGAGCAGCTGTCATCTAACATCACCACCCAGGGTGTGGCAGCAGCCGCTCGGGTAATTATTTTCTGTGAGCTTTGAAATATATTTTATAATGCTTCAAAAAAAATGCTTACATTGAATTTATCACCCTCAGTGTTGTTAAATGTTTCAATAATAACAAACAGTAGCGGAAAACTGTATTGAATCCAAATCAGTAATTCATCAATGGTGTTTCCAATATAAATCGCTTTTCAACAATGCTTTGATATTAGCAAGGTTGTATATTATTTTAATGTGTGTTTGATGAAAAATGAAAATGTGCTGAAAATGTACTGTGGCCGTCCAAGATTTGGAGAAATGGCTCATCAATGGATCCTCTGCAGTGAATGGGTGCCGTCAGAATGAGAGTCCAAACAGCTGATAAAAACATCACTATAAATAATCCACATAAATTCTGTCCATCAATTAATGTCTTGTGCAGTAAAAAGCTGTGCATTTGTAATAAACAAATCCATCATTGAGATGTTTTTTTTTAATTCAAACAATTGCTTTTGGCTTTATCTATAATATTGCTTTAAAAATAATTGCTTTGCTATTTCTTTAGGGTTATGGATTTGTAAATTACAGCCCCAATCTGTTTGAGCTACGGACATGCACGATTCCTTCTATGGTGTTTATTTATTTATTTTATTTAATTCTTTATTTAACAGGGACAATGGGCCCCAGAATTAGCTACAGAGCTAAATTGAATCTGCTGCCACCCC